GCTGAGTGGAAACACACTCTTTTCCAGCATAACCATTAAAAGTGTGCTCAATGGGACTAACTTACAGAACGAGGTGCGACTCAACATAAGCAAGCTTCTTCATTTCGGGACCTATGTGTTACCACACAGCAAAGAATAAAAGTGAATACCCTTGTTGGCTTTAACCAAAGCAATTCAGCCCAGAATGCATTGCGTAGCGGAGCTATAGTAAAACTTTGACCTTTCACTTTACCATAGCCTTTCTTGAGGTCTACTTCCATAGGAACAGTTTTAGAGAGTAAGAAATAAAACTCTCAATTTTACAGAGTAAGAAATAAACTTTTACAGAAAGTGTTATACGGAGTAATAACTCCGTAACTCCTCCGGATATTTTAAATTTGGCAAATGCTTATATTTATATGTAATGTGTGGTACATCAATGATCATTTACACAACTAATATTATAAATAATGACACTGATATCATAATAAAGTGTCTTGCTTTTCATTTTCATAGAAATATTTACCCTGACATTGCTATATAATTCTTCGCAAGTCTAATGACTGGGTATATTACAGAAAGTTATTTTTATATCATTCTGTAACTATATGTTTCTAAATTATATTGAAGCATATTTCACCGCCTTTCAGAAATTACGTTGAGGTATGTATTGCTAGATAAATAAAAGTTAGCAGTAAAATAACATGACAGCCTATCAGTATTGTAAAAATTATATTCCTCTTTAAATAAACACAATTTTTCCTCCTCCTTCCATCTGTCTTAACAAAAATTTCTTCAGCCAAACATTTATCTGATACAATCTGATTTCACTTTGAAAGAGGAATCCGTTCAGAGTTTTCCTTTTTTTGATGGAGACACTGCCTTTTAATGGCAAAATGAATGCAAAAAAGCATATGATTATGGTATTTATAGTTCCATTAAAGTGTCCAGAGCAAGTTGGGGGATTCTAGCCTACTATTTTGAAGCTATTTAGGTTTATGGAGGCACAGTGCCCATTTCGTTTCAATTATATATGAGGACAATGCACTCTTGGTGGGATGTGATGGCATAGCGACAGCCAGTAAATGCCCATCAGCAGCTGTCTTTTCATGGGGTTCTTTCTCTAAATGGTAAGCTCTGTGTGTATGCACACACATAGTACACACACACACACACACCTCTCTCTCTCCCCCACTCACACACATGGTGCCATTCCTGTCTAAAATGAAAAATACAGCCATTATTGATCCATGGTTTGTGTTTTCTTCCATATGATGTAAAACATACCAGCAACAGAACTCTTAGCTTGGCTAACAGCCTTTGCTACAGGAATGCAATCCCCCAGTCACCATTTGGCATGGCAGAGGAAAATCAACCAATTAGAAACCCCATCTAGGTATTTTTCTTCCTTTCTCTTTTGCCATTTAATGCCTCATAGTAAGAAGTAACCAGTTAGGGAGCTTTGTTTGCTTAAACAACAACATATGAAATGTCACATTACATAGGATTAAGGTCAAAATGACCATTCATGAAGCCTCAGGAAACTGCATAATATCAGTCATTTGTAAACAACGGATAAATAGACTTAATGAGAAACATTTGGACAAAACACCCCATCCCCCAGAGAAAGAAACTTACTTTAATTTTTCCAATAACCAGTTGAACATTTTCCCGTTCTGCAAAAATTTACTTTATAGGGATTAAAATAATTGGGGTACAAGGCAGCCAGGAACGCAACACAATTCTAACGAAACCCACAGGCATCTAACAAAAGAGCCGACACATTATCATGACTTCTTTTTGACCACTGATTTTATTGCCTTATTTTGTGCCTCAGCTTGGATACAAAACCGGGTATTGAAGTTGGACGGATTGTTTCTGTCTTGGCAAAAGAAACTTCTGGAAGCTGTGCTTATTCCCAGTTTACTTTGCCCAGAAATCTCTAATCCTGCACAGAAAAGCAATCTAACTAAACCAAGAATCTTCCAGCTAAAAAAAAAGTCCAAAAACTATACAAACCTACTTTAACATGTGTATCCTTCATCCAGGGAAAAAGAGCAGGTTTGATAAATAGTGTATTTGTGTTTTTCATCTATTTCAAAAATAGAAGCCCATTATTGTTTGCAACATTAAGGCAAACTGCAGAATACATCATACCAACTGTCTGAGAAAAGAAATTCACATCTGGCAGCATGATTTTATACATATTGTTGCTGTTGTGTGTCTTCAAATACACTACACACATATACTCGTGTGCACACACACTTATATAGATTGCTAATAAGGATTCAAGAGCAGTGTTCTGGGTCAGAATCTATCACAGATTGTGTGCCCTTCTTTTTCTGTACCATCAAAATTGAGCAGTGGGATTAAAATATGTGGGAGTTTCTTATATGACTGCTCCTTGAACGCAAGGATTTCAGTGGCAAATATTGCCACAAATTTAAGTGGTAAGCATGAAATCCCCTTTAAAATCAGCATAAAGCCAATACATTTTAAAGGGGCTTCTTTACAGTCTTCCCCTAAAATTCAGTTATGCATCTGCTGTTGAAATCTAGTGGTTTTAAGAGGGGTGAGTTTGCAAGAATGGTCTTGGATGCTGTCAATTCTCAGAAAACGGTTTAGACATCTCACCACATTATTATCATCAAGGTATGTAACCTAGAAAAGAAGCTTGGGAGACTCAGCTGAAACTGTGTACAGCTGTTAACGGCTGAAGTAGATGGAGGAAATTCATTGCCCATTACAACTGAATCCATCGCCCATACATTAACAAACTCCCATTAAGATCTGTAAGAACATGTAAAGTGATACACTATAGACAGTGAGGACTGACACAAAGTTAAGACCACCCAACCATCATCTTTGCAGTGAATCTTATGCAATCTTCTATGACCCTAACAATTTATGTTTTCAGATTTAATATAATGCATCTAAGACAAATCTTTGTTCCTTCTTTACACATAGGCACAGTAACCATCTTGAGAGCTTCAAAAAGATTTTTCAACAGTTGCATACTTGTAGACTAGACAGGTCTCTCTAATTGTTTTGTTCAGATGCAAACTTTCAAAACAACCTTTGGTCCAAGTGTGAAATTCTTCTTGGCATTTCATCTAGGCTCCAACACACTGTGCCAACACAATAACTGCATTATAAATTAAATTGTGCAAGATGCCCTTCAGGGAATGGAGTGCTATTTGTTATTTCTGTGGCATCAAATGATAAGCAAAAAGGCAGGGCAGTGCTGGTTCAGAGAAAAACAACAACAGCACAAAGTACTGCCAGGCAAGTTCTGCTTATGGGAATATTTAGAGTAATATTCCAACAGCTATTTGGAAGAAATTAGTAAGAAAAAAAACATGTTCCCTTCTCAGACTAGATTGCACGCAAAGCCAGATATTGAGCTGGTCTTCAAAACAATGAAACTACTTTATTTGGAGAATAATGGTTAAAGTGTTGGACTGGGACAGCAAATCAAGTTTCAAGTCTCCACTGAGTCATGAAAGTCACCTTGGGCCAACCACTTTCCCTTAGAGCAGTGGTTCTCAACCTGTGGGTCCCCAGGTGTTTTGGCCTAGAACTTCCAGAAATCCTGGCTAGCTTACCAGTTGTTAGGATTTCTGGGATTTGAAGGCCAAAACATCTGGGGACCCACAGGTTGAGAACCACTGCCTTAGAGTAACCTACATCTTTAGTCTTAAAGGCGTGAGTAGATTTCCTCTCCCTTTCCTATTAAACAGATAAATATCATTATCTTTTTAACCTCTATAAATATATATAATGCGGTATAATCAGTGGTTCCCATTCTACTATACATGGAAGGAACTGTCCATGAACATTAAGCATAGAGGCCTTTCTTAGAATGTCTATTCTTTTCCAGGATTAGGAATCAAAGCAGTTTTTGAATCCTCCCATTGAGCGCATCATCCCATTTTGGAGGAGAAAGGATTAATAATTGTGTCTCTAGAACTCTCCAGGGATTGACGGGCTTTAAAACAAAATCTTCCTGATACTGAGTTTTAAAAGTAGAGTTTATCTTCTCTTCTCAGCTCATTTGATTTCACCTGGAAATGCAAGTGTGACCCATGGCAAATACAAATATGGTGGGAAATGGCTTCCAGACAGCTAAAGATGCCCATGTTTGTTTCCAGGCAGCTAAAGCTTCCCATATTTGTTTCAACTGAAGTTGCAAAGGATTGGACCTGGACAGTATATGAAGTATATGAGCCCCAGAAGATATATGAGGATGGAGTGAAAAATATCTTGAGGTTTACAGGTTTTCCACTCTTTAGTAAATCCACAATCTTTATATGCTCTAATGACATTACACTGCTTTATTCCACTCTTTTTTATTGCATTTTCACTTATGCCTAATTGTGCTTCCTTTCTCTTTGTTCCAGGTGCAATGCTACCACATAACAATTTTAAAGAATTGGAATCAGTTTGGAAAGCCTAGGTGGTATGGCTCATGGTGTCATATCCAAAACTTCAAACTTTAAATGATTTCTTCCCTTCTCTTCTTTTATTTTAAACATTGGTGTGAATTAATGGGGTGATCATGATCCATTTATTGTGGTGAAGAAATAGCAAATGGAAGGATTTTGGACCCCAAAACCTTCCAGTTTTTCTTCAGACAACAGACCCAGAAAACCAAAAGATTTCACCACCGATACGACAAATGTATGCCAATAATTGAACTTGTAGAGGCTGTTCCAAGAGTGACTTTAATGTGAATTACCCTAAACAGTGCAATTTGGGTCCAAAAGCATTACCAAGAAGATGATGAATTGGGTTGGAATCCTCTGAAAAGATTGCACTTCTCATTCCATTATGACGTGATTTGTGTGAATTCAATATTTTTTTCTCTCTACAAAGGCTTTTAAAAAGCCATTAATAAAATGCAGTTCTGGCTTTACAGTTGATGAACAGTCACCTCACTTGCCTCCCCCGCCACACAGAGAGAAGGAGAGACTACAAAACAGACACTGAAAGGAGAATATCGACTGAAGTCTGGTGCCTACCTGTCTGCAGGTGAAGACTTTGAATTGCGGGCTTTCTTTACTTGGGCATATAGTGCTTCGCCTGTTGGTCCTTCCCTGGGGCTCTGTGGTCGATTATTCATTGTACCACTATTTGTGGGGGAATGATATGAAGGAATCCCAGCATACAATGAATCAGCATCACATCCAAAAGTCCTGTTTAAATCATGGATCTCAGCATAGTCCCGTTCCCGAGCTTGCCTCTCACGAAATTCTCGAGTCTTGGCTTGAATTCTGGAAATGAGAAAAGGGGCTAAAATAATGTACATTTGGAAAAAAACAGGATACAAACACATTTGTGTTCATAAGTATATATTTTAATCACTAAATGATAAACGGAAATACTTGAGATACTGAGAGGGGGCAATTCTGGAATACAATTCCTTATTCTCTTTGTTAAATGAAGAGAAATCCTCACTTAATCTGTTTTTATTTATTTCATGTCAAAAGCATTGCACAAATAAACAAGTATAAAACTGATACAAGTATAAAACTGGGAACACAAGTGGCTAAATAATTTTAGACCAAAAATGAGCAACAGCGGTTGCATTCTCTGTAGCGTCAAACAGTACTTCTTCTGTGCATGAGGCAGGGAATTGTGGGCAAGCATACAGGTGCTGAGTTGCTCCAGTCGCACAAGATGGAGGATTCTTCTAGGTAGTGCCATTTAGCCAGGTTGTCTTTTGGTCTCCCAACACCATTGTGAGTCTCTTCAGGAACTTCCAAGTTGCCCATTCTTGACTTGCCACTGGAGGCAGACCCTTGTTGGGGGCCATCTATTTGTGATTTCCTGATTTAACTGCTCAAAGGGATACTCAAAGCAGTGGTGGTTCTCATGAAATTTTCTCTTGATTTGAATCTACTGAGAGGAGGCTGATAGACATGCAGTGGGTGGCTTTCACTTAGTCTGTTGAAATGTTGGCATAGGCAATTGGTTCTTTCTCAGTGACATGCATTATCATTTGCATGTGATCATTCTGATATTATAATGGGCCCGCTTGAACATTAGGCAATGAGAGTGGAGTCAGGATATGGAGCTAACACACATAGAAGATAATCTCCAAACTAGAAAATCTTACAATGGTATTCTCCTCTCATTTCAGCAAAAGAAATCCCTTAGTTTGGATAGTAACTCGGCTTTCTCAAATAACCAGAAATTGCATGTTTACTATCAGGCAGTATTCCTTGTTATCCGTCATGATTCACAAAGATGTGAAGACTTTTCCAAAGGGGAATTATGAATCACTGTTGTTTGGATTATAATGTTTTCACATTGCTGTACCTTTTAAACATTAAAAGCACATGATAAAGCTTTTATCATATACTTGGTAAACCTTTGACCTTCATCTATTTGCAGATTGTTTTATGTCTTTTAGATATTTCCTTTATGGTTTCAATAAAGAAATCAAAAGGATAAAACCTGGCTTTATTTAATCAATAGAAAAGTTTAAACTGTCTCACTGAAAATAGATTTTTGCCCATTCATTGACTTTTTGAGTATTAATTCTAATTAATAACAAAATAGCATCTCTACCCAATGCTGCCACTATTGTCCTTCCAACTGTGTAATGCTGATATATTAATGTGATTTCAATTATATTTGATACAGAAGATGGTATTATGACTAGAAATACTGGAAATTCCACTTCTGTCTGCAATTGATTCTATTTTTAGATTCATATTTAAGATGAGCATGGTGATATCAACCACTAAAGTGATGTGTGGATATGGCATAGAATCACTGAGTTGGAAGAGTCCACATGTTGTGTCCTAGTCTCTAGAGAAGCAGACACCAAACCTGCTCCATCTCCAATATGACATCCATTCAAATATTTAAGCATGGCTAGCATGATCCCTTGAATGTTTCTCCTCTCCACGCTAAACATATCCAGCTCCCTATGCTGCTCCTTGTAGTGATTGGCTTTTACCATTTTAGTCACCTTTTTCTGGACACATTCCAATTTGTCAATATTCTTTCTGAATTGTGGTGCCCATTCAGGTACATTTTCCAGGGAGCTTCATATGGCAATATAGGAAGCTCTTGCTTATTGTAATTGATGTCAACTCTCCAGATTCTCAGAGGTCTTTTTCATCATGTTCTACAATCCCCACATCCCTTTTCTCCAGAGTTGAGAATGTGCATCCATTAAGCAACTTTGAGTTGTATCTTTTTTAAAAAAAACAAAAACAAATAAGAACTCCCCCCCCCCCCCACACACACACACCTAATGCTATACAGAGGAAATCTGGGTGCAAAACATTTTTTCCAGAAGTTTAGCTGTCTCACCACATGTCCCCAAATTCATCTCAGAGGCCAATGTGACCCATTGCCCAATAGCAGCTGCCTGTCCTTGCCAGTTTGCTAATGCCTATTACTTTGACTAAGAAAAAAAACAGTGGACACATGTTGCGAATTCACAATCTGCTGTCCTTTTGATTATAGATAATTGCCACTTTCTTAAACATTAAAATAAATAGTATGTTTAAGTGTTTTCAGCTACAAAACTCTGGACTCCCATTGTGCAAAAAGGATTTGATGGGCTTACTGGTTGAGTTCAACTCTGTTCCACTGCTCATTTGTTTTTGCTGTAATAAAAACACTTAATTCAGGGATATGAATAATACACCCCTCCAGATGTGGTTGAAATGCAATTTCCAGCATGCTGGGCAGGGTTTCTGTAAGTTGCAGTCCTTTGAAATCCACAGAATTGCCACCTCTTTTTTGTACCAATCTGCCTTGGTACACAAGCAGACTAGCTAGCCAGAAACGAAACCTATCACTACCACTCACCTCAGCAGAAGAGAGCATTGGGTTCTAGCTGGTCACTCTTTCACAGAGTCTGGGAAGGAATCTGCATGCTGACCATGGCGAGTCCTTGATTAAGTATACTGTTTACATTTCCTAGGATTCCTTCTTCTAGGCTAGAATTGTATTGTTTTATGTACTAATAGAATTTGGTTTTCTGGTTAATTGGTTGTAGTATGCTTTTTCTGAAGGTTGCCAGAAGAGCCATATGAAAACAGAAGACCAGCCATGGAGAGAGCATGAAAACTGCCTGGGAAAGTCTTTTTGGTAGAGGCCATGGAGGAATACTCACACGCCTGGTGCAGGAGGGCATCCAGGCTCTTGTGGACATTCCAGTGGGGAGCTGAGCTTGTATATTCCTCTTCAACAAGTAATTTAGCAATGGTTGCTTTGGGTAAAATAGTCACAGGGTTGCCAATATATTCCAACAGGAAACAGTTTCCAACCAACCCTACCTAACATGTAGAGGTTGCAGGTTAGTCATGGTTCCCTTACGAAAGCTGTAGCCTGCTGTATCAGTTTAACCAATAATAACTCAATCATATTAGCCACTTTGAGTCCCCTTTGGGGAGATAAAGCAGAATATAAATAAATATAACGACGACGACAACAACAGAGCAGATTATGGTAAATCTTCAATAAAAGACCCTTTACACCAGTGGTTCTCTATCTGTGGGTCCCCAGGTATTTTGGCCTACAACTCCCAGAAATCCCAGCCGGGTTACCAGCTGTTAGGATTTCTGGGAGTTGGAGACCAAAACATCTGGGGACCCACAGGTTGAGAACCACAGCAATATACTGATTGCTTTATTTCTGAAGCAATAAACATTGGACAGTAGATCATGTATTCAATTTAAATTGGGAGGAAAAACAACTGAAGCATTTCACCCAAAGCTATGTTATGATGATTTTGAACTTTCTTCCATATGGAAATGTCTTTTTTCCTGTTTGCAGAAAAATGTTAAAATTATTCTGGGGAATATCCTGTGTTGTATACCAAGAATATTCTTCAGGTACATTGGGACTCTGTCATGCTCACAAAGCACAAACAGCCTAAAACACAACCAGCATTCTCTCAGATCTGTATGCTACCTGGGAAACTGGCACTGGGGTAATCAGTGAGAGGTCACAGCCCATTGGTACAGAGTACTGCTTGCATGGAGAAAGCCTCAATTTCATTCCCATTTATAGTTAAAGCAATGGAAATAACAAACTTTGGAACACCACTGCTTTAGACACTGGAAAGCCATTCAGTCCAAAAAGATAATCCTGTGCTAGATTTCAAAGACAACCACCATTTTTAAAAAAGATGGCATCAGAGGTTCATATAAAATGTATCTTCCATTCCTGATCTACTCCTTGAAGTAGTTCAGTAAATTTCCAGAAACTCAAAGGTTGATTACAACAGAATCTGATAAATATGCAACTATACAAAATGAATTGCTGCCCCTCTGCTCCATCAACTCTTGCTAAATCCAACTGATGTTGTTTATCTGCCTAGTTTTCATTCTGGCGTTTTTCCTTCTACACGTCTATCAAATTCAGTGGGATTATTCTGCAAAGTGCAGTCAGCTAGGCACAATTGTGCATACTAAGTGTAACTGTAACATAGCAAGACATGGCTTGTTAAGGATGGCAGGTCAAGAGCAAATGCTATTTCCCAAACCTCAGTGGAGATGCATAAGAACAGAGGAATCCGACTTTTTAAAAAGTAGGGATAGAAAATCACCCAGTTTTAATTTAATTCAGCTTCTTTGAATTCCACATGTGTTTTTTCCCCTAGTTTCATATCAAGTTGCAATTTGTTCCACAATATCCAGTGAATTTTCCAATGCAAGCCTTATTTTGCATTTTTTTCTTATGTATGCTTTTATTTAGGGAATGTACTAAATTTGTGCAATTTTCCACCTTGATTAAAATATATTTCAATGTGATTTTATTTTTCAATTATGCATGTTTTGCCACTGATGCTCAAAGTATGCATTTTATTTCTTAGAAACATCCTTTGATAGGGGCAAAATCATTATGTTCGTCAAGACTGCAGACTAGAATGATTTTCTACAATTCCTAATAAACCACCAGGTCATCTAGCTCAGCAATAGCACTATCTTTCCAGGATTTTAAAATAGTAACTTTTCCAGTCCTAGTTCAAGATATTGTGAAAAATACATGCAACATTGTCTCTCCCTTAAAAAATTATTCTGTTACTCCAACATGGGGAATGTGGGAGAAATACACCAGTTAATTTGCTATTAACTAAATTGCTATGTTGCAGCCAGTGGAATAATAATTTGGAATAAATCTGAAACTCTACATCACTTCATGTTGTCAGTTATATCATTCTGAAAGTTTGATGATAATTGGAAAGCAAAAGATATGACAGAGAAGTCAACTAATAACACAACATCTTTGCCTTTTCCATGACCAG